GGGAAGCAGACACATACACACATAGCTTTTAAGAGAGAGGGAGATAGGGGTTACCTCAATGTTCTGGGAGTACAGGAAGACAGAGACTAAGGGGCTCAAGTGAGTGGATGACTGAGAAGGCTGCATGGAGGAGGTGGCATTTGAGCCTGGGCTTGGAGGATGGAAAGGTTCTGATGCTTGGTCTCCTCATCTTCCTGTCATTGCTTGGCAGTGAGCCTGTTGTTTGGCTGGACTCTTCGTTAACCGTTTGATTGGACGAACAGCAACAGAGATGAAAGGGAAGGATGCTCTGGACAAAGGAGACAAAGGCCAGGAACAGAAGTGGGAAAGTGCACAGTGTGCTCAGAGGGCCAAGAACTGGCTGGTGGAGCTGTAGCATATGGAGCCCCAGTCACCTTGGGGTAGCGTGGGAATGAAGAGATATCAGGGGCGTGGTCTAAAAAGCACCCGGGAGGGATTAGGTTTGCCTGGAAAAGAATTTTTCTTTGATGAAGGTTGGGTAGAGAGTTTAAGGAGGGAGCAGACAGCTCTCTGATTGGGATGATCTGAGCCAGCTGGACGGATCCACGCTCTTTATAGGTGACCTGACAGCCCCCAGCTTTACCGAATTTGTTACTCTGGCAGTCTTTATGCTTCACTTTTGGGGGTTGTTTCTGCTTTGATTTCAAGGAAAATCACCATGTGGAAGAAAAACTACAAAGTTTTAGCGGGGGAAAAACAACCTTTTAGCTGCCACTATGTCTACATCCATAAAAATCCTCTACATGCCCCATGAATTTGAACATGCGGTTTATCTCATTTGTTCCATAAAACATCAGATGCGACTTTAATGGCCTAACCCCAAAAAGATAACTTGACAGCCCTCAAACATTCAGCAGCATTCCAAATAACCTTTTACTGGAGCTGGCCTTCTACGGGGCCATGTGGATGTCAGACGCACACAACTTGAGTCACGCTGACATAGCTGGGATGCCTGGATTGCAATGGAATCTCGGGGGTACCAATCACAGGCCAGAGAGAAGCCATTGGCTGCAAGAAACAATGCCAGAGTGTTCACGTCTCTGCAGAAGGAGGGGTGTTGATGGCGATGGGAATGACAATTGCAGGCAGAGGAGGACGATGACCCCAAAACAGGATGGGCACTTGTCAGTGATGCTGGGCCACTGGGCAGAAGCATTCCAGGGGCTCGGGCTGTGGCCACATCCTTCTTCTCCTGAGTCCCAACCAGAAAAGTTAAGAAAGTATACATTTTCCCTGAAACTGCTTCCTGAACGGAATGCCCTGCTGTCTTCTGGGGTTTGAGAAATCCAGAGTTTTTAATAATGGCCAAAATGTATTAAGCGTTTATGTCCACCAGACACCGTGCAAGGCATCTTACAGAGAATTCATTTCATCCTCATGACTCCATGGTGAGGTAATTTTCACAATTCCCATTTTATGAAGGAGGAAACTGAGGCTAGGAAGAATGAAGAAATTTACCTGAATCCCACAGCCAGGAACTGGCAGAGTCAAGACTTGAACCAGAGTCTTTCAAAAGTCAAGGCCTGGGCTCCTGACCACAGCACTCAAAGCCACGTGGCTGGTCCATGTGATCTGTGCCACCCACAGCAGCCCCCGCCCCGGAGGCTGGAACTCTTGAGTGTTGAGCAAGTGGAGAAAATTCTAAAAGGGATTCTTTTTACTCTCCTGGTTTCCTGGGGTCAGGTAAGCATGTTTAAGCATCCTGTTCAGTCAGCACTGGTTTACTTCAGTGATTGTGCTGTTCAAGACCCAAGGCTAGGCACAGTGAGGGGATGCGAGGAAGACCCAGACGCCGCGATGCTCTGGAAGGGGGCTGCAGACTGCAGGCAACGTGCGGGCACCCGTCTTTGGGAGGCTGAGTTGAGGTAGTATTCCTGTGTCGCTAATGAGTTTGCTCATTACTTTTCTAGCTAGGATCTGTCTTTCTTTCTTCCAAGCTTCTTTACCTTTTTCTTTTTCTTTTTTTTTCTTTTTTAACAGTGTAAACCTTTTTCTGACTTACTCTATGCCAAGTTAGGTGCTAAATCATTAACACAAAACCATTAGCATGCAGCATCTCAGTTGGTCCTCCCACAGTAGAATGAAGTTGGTACTGTTAGTGTCCCTGTTTTAGGAAGATCAAGAAACTGAAGCCCAAGGAGGTTAAGTGATGTGTTCAAAGTCTGCCTAATTCAGTGCCTTGCCCTCTTCACCATGATAACAACATGTGCTAACAGTGCCCTCACTCTGTACTTCTTTTATGGCAACCCATTCGGTCCTCACAACACCTATGATAGGAACTACTATTGTTTCTGTTTAATAGATGGGGAAACTGAGGCACAGAAAAGTTATGCAGTCACGCGCTGCATAACGATGTTTTGGTCAACAATGGAGTGTATACACTACGGTGGTCCCATACGATTGGTCCCACAGAGCCTAGGTGTGTAGCAGGCTAGACCATCTAGGTTTGTGTCAGTGCACTCTGTGATGTTCGCACACAATGAAACCGCCTGGCCATGCATTTCTCAGAACGTATCCCCATCGTTAAGTGACGCACGACTGCAAATTTGGCCAAGCTCACCCAGCTGATAAGTGGCACAGCTGGGATTATGTTTGACTGCTTATATTTTGTAATAAAATAGGAAGACATTCCTCACTTTTTGTTTTGTTTTGTCTTCCACTTGAATCCTCCTGTGATGACCCAGAGTGGGATGCCAGGGCACTGAGAACAGAGTCTCTGAGCTGACCTGGGGAGGGTGCCAGTGACAGCCACGTCCCTGCCGCTCTGGAGGTGGAGGGCAGTAGAGAGAGCAATGAGATGGCAGCCGCAAGCCTGGGGCCCTGCCAGGGAAGGCCTCAAAGCCCACCTGTGGGTCGGCACCCCTGTGCTGGGCAGTGCACAAAGACGAGCCGTGGCTTTTAGGAGACCAACTGAACACGGTCCTTGGGAGAGGAGAAAACCCAGGGGCAGGGCGGGCACGACCTCAGCCTTCGGGCCTGAGAAGGGCTGTTCTGTGGAATAGGGGATGTAGGGAGCAGCTGTCCCAAGAACGGGGCAAGAAAACACAGGTTCCTGTTTGGGGAGCAGCAGGGGCATTTCAGGGAGAAAGCGGGATCCATACCCCACACTGTACAATGTCCAACCCTGAAAGAGGAGGCTGCGGAGTCTGGACCCAGAGGAGGGGTCTCTAGAGAGAGGAGAGGGGCCTCCCTTAAGGTGACCTCTTCCTGACCTCTGCCCCCTAACCTTCTGAAGCCCTATCCATCCTTGAAGCTGTGGCTCCAATGCCACCTCCTCCATGCAGCCCTCCCTGAGCAAGCATCCCACACACACCCTTAGAACTCACAGTTCCATTCAGGGGACGGAAAGCCTAGGTACTCTGAGGTCCTGGGCAGCCCGCATTCGCTCAGGGCAGGGCTCCCCAGTGGGCTGAGGCTCAGACGAGTTATTCGGGTGATCGAAGCCTCAGACACTCTGGAAGTCAGCCCAGTCAGTCACAGGCACTCTCTCCCCAGTCACCCCCTTCTGCTGTTCATTTGGCCTTGGGTGTGGGATGTCCTGTCACCTCTCTGGTCCAGTGTCTCCTGGTGTTAGCAGCTCCTTGCATGAACACGTGTCTCAGATGGTCAGACAGCACTCACTGAGCACTTACCGTGTGCCAAGCACTGCTGTGACTGCTTCCCAGAGCTTATCTCATCTAACCCTCCCAACAGCCCTATGAGGTGATGTCATTATTGTCACCATATTACAGAGAAGGAAACAGAGGCTGAGGTCCTCAGCAGCTAAGGAGCAAGCTAGGACTTGAACACAATGTGGAAACAAATCTGGGATTTGTCACTGACTTGTCCTCGATGGAAAGAAGTCAGGGAGCTTCTCCCTCCTTTCCAGCTCCTGTAGCTCCCAGCAAGTCCTATACATAAGAATTGTTCAATAAGTGTCAGGGTATTGACTGTTCAAAGACATTTCTAATCTGCTTTTTCAATAATCAGTGAGTTAGGCTGCTTTGGAGAGGACAAGATAGTGTTGAATCCTTGCTAGGGAAAGTCAGCTAGCTCTTGGAGGAAGTGAGAGGTTTGCCGGCAGTGTCCTAGAAAACTTTATTCCAAGTCTTTAGGCTAACTGTGAGATAATAAAAACATATATATTTGGCCTTCTTCCCCAATTCCTGACACAGAGCTCCTAAGTCCCTTGGAATTTCCTGGGTGATAGGAATAACAGGAATGTCTTCTGTTCTGATAAGGCCGCTCTTGGTGGGCCCCCAGATCGCTTCAGGACGGGGACTGGTCACCAAAAAGAGCAAGGCATGATTAGAGAGTTTGAACTCTGAGCCCCATCCCCCAACCTATGGGGAGGGGAGAGAGGCTGGAGAATGAGTTAATCACCAATGGCCAATGATCTGATCAGTCATGCCTAGGAGGGTGCACTCCAACTGCGTGGGGACAGAAGGTCCTGTGCTCAGATCCTTCCAGATCTCACCCTATGGACCTCTTCGTCTGGCTGTTTATTTGCATCCTTCATAATAAATTGGTAATAGTAAGTAAATGTTCCTGAGTTCTATGAGCCGTTCTAGCAAAGTCTTGCACCTGAGGAGGTTGTGGTGGGAACCCTCGAAGTTATAGCTGGTCAGTCAGGAGTGCAGGAGGCAACGTGGCCCTTGTGACTGGCATCTGAAATGGAGGCAGTCTTATGCCCTTACGCAGTCTATGCCCTTAACCTGTGGGGTCTGTGCCAACTCCAGGTAGTTAGTGTCAGAATTAAATTGAATCGTAGGGCACCAGTTGGTGTCCGGAGAGTCGGAGAATTGGTTGGTGTGGGGACAAAGCTGACACATTTGGTGTCAGAAGTTTTGTGAGTAAAAACACTTCGTAGTAGCAAAGAGAAACGTGAGAAGAAGTTGGGAAGGAGGGGTGCAGGGGGACAGCCCATTTCAATTAATTAAGTGACTCAGCCAATCAAAAATGCTTTATTAACTGCTCTTTCTTCTGTCCTCCGCTTGCAGGAGATTGTACTATAAAGCTCATACAAGGACTGATGCTGAAAATGCACCTTCCAGAAGATGCCAAGGAATCACTGTATACTCAACTTGATCTCTGCCGCCTCTGTCTACATCTCCAGTCCTGGACACTGAAACCGGTGCTCAGGGGTAACCTCGTCAGAAGAATCCCTAACCACGGGCACCAGGAAAGTCGAGTCTGTTTCTCTGTGCTTGCTAAGATAGGGAAGCAGACTCCAGCGTTTAGAGATTTTTTTCTTGGAACAAGAATTGAAACAGGGGCCGGCCGGGTGGCATGGTGGTTAAGTTGACATGCTCCACTTTGGAGGCCTGGGGTTCCCCAGTTCGTATCCTGGGTGCAGACCCAGCAGCGCTCATGGAGCCATGCTGAGGTGGCGTCCCGTTTAGAAGAACTGGAAGAGCCTACAACTGGGATGTACAGCTATGTCCTGGGGGGCTTTGGGGAGAAACAAACAAAGTTTGGCAACAGATGTTAGCTTAGGGCCTATCTTCCTGACCAAAAAAAAAGCATAAAAAAATAATGTTAAAAAAAAAAAGAACTGAAATGTAAAGGATTTTTTTCAAGTTAACATTCAGTTCATACAAATGGAATTTGGAAGAACTTCTCCAAACGTTGCCTGTTTTGGTCAATTGACCTTTTACTGTAACAAGCTAATCGGAAGCCACAAATAAATTGGGGAAGAAGGTATTCATTTCACCAAAAGATTTGTTGCTTAGCTGGATACTCTCATGGTGCTTCTTTAAATTAGGAGCATTTCTAGTACCTATTAAATAGTTTCATTGACTTCAGAGTGAGATTTATATATTTCATTCAGAAAATAGTCAAAGTGTACTTGATTTTGAAATTCTTAAAGAATTTAAGAATTAAATTAAAGCTGAAAGGGGCATTTGCGCCCCCCCTCCTCACTTTAGAGATGAGGAAGCAGTAGCCTGGAGAAATTAAGTGTCTCGGTCACATCACAAGGCCCCGTGGCAGGCTACTCGATTTCCAGCTTTCTCCCATTACTGTGCATCTTCCTTGCATCCAAAATGTCTGACTCTCTACCTGGTCCTCAGCTGTTGTCACAGATGCTTAATCACTCACCCCTCTTTTGGATTTCTTCCCTTTTATTATGGAAAATTTTCAAACATAAAGGTAAAGAATATAATAGAAATAACTCCCATGTGCCCCTCACTCAGCTTCTACAATTATTCACATATGACCAATCCCCTTTTATCTGTACCTATCCCCAGTTCCCGTTCCTGCACAGATGATTTCAAAGCAAATGCAAACATCATGGAATTTCATCTGTAAATACTCGGGTGTCACAGTGTGTGCGCCCTCTCGCACATGTGTAAAACCCACACTACAGCTATCACGGCTAACAAAATTAACAATTAGTTCCTGAATAGCAAATTTCCCCGATTGTCTGTCTGTCTGTCTTTCTGTCTGTCTTTCTCTCTCTTTTGCAATTGTTTTGTTAGAGTCAGGATCCAGACAAAGCTGGAGATCGGGTCTCAGGTCTCAGGTTATCTGATCATTCGAAGTTCTGGCGCTAGAAGGTTTGCTGAGCAAGGGGAAATACGTTGCAAGACAAGGCTCCTCAGAATCGTCGTGGATCGCGTTTGTGTACATGCCTTGACCCTTCCTGAGCTTCTCTGACCCATGGCATTCGGGTCAGATCTGGCAAACAGGTATCAGCTGCCTCGCACAGAGCAAACTGAGGCCTGGAGGTGTTGTGGGATCCAATCGCTGGTCAGGCTGAGGCCACTGCAGTTTCCTGACTCAGCTCTTCGGACCCCACAGCATGTCGTCGTAACCCCATCTCGTTGCAATTAGCACGGCTCCTACTTTTGTAGGGGCTCAGTATGTTCCCACCCTCTTCTAAACACGTCTCTGTAGGAGCTCGTGTAACCTTCCAGCAACCCTAGGAAGTAGGTGCCTTTATTCTCATTCTGCTGATGAGGACTCCTAGGCACAGAGGGGCCGAAACATTTTCTCAGGGTCACCCAGCACCAGCAATTACAGTCAGGTCTCTCTGATCCCGGAGTCATGCCCATAACCTCTGTAATTTTCTAGCATCACACTACAAGGCAACTGTAATTTTCGGTGTGGAAAATTTACCTCGATTCACTTCATCTTTCTTCTCTTTTAGAATTTGGCTTTAAATAGGAAATAAAATTACAATTTCTACTCTTCAGACACCTCCTGCCCACGGACGTGATCTTCCTCCACCTGAATGCGTGAAGCTCTACACGATCCCTGACTGGATCATTGAGAGCTGAAAATACATCCCAGGCTGCGGACCTGTCTGCCCCAGCCTCACCCGGCCGACAGCTCGCGTCACGCAGTCCCCGCCTCGGCCTGGCCCTGCTCACTCTGTCTTGTGCTTTCAGGAGCAATCAAAGCCCTTTTTAGAAAATATTTCCTGGGCTTCTGTGGCCTTGGATGGACAGAGTTTTCCACTAGGCCTTTTTTTTTTTTTTTTCCAGCCACACTGGCCCTTAAGAAGATGTTACTCAAGTCTCCACACCTACTTCAAACATTTTTAGGGGCCCTGGCTGGGGCCTCGTGTGTGACTGCCAGGAACCCTACGGAGAGGAGGAGCCAGCTCCGGGGCCCTGCCTTGGTCGCAGTGTTTACTGAGAGCTTGGAGGCCGCCGGCAGGGTGGCCATTCTTTTTCTCACACTTCCCCAAACGGCATATTCTTGTGGGGCAGCTGCTGCTCCCGAGGCCGTCCTTCTGCCCCCGGTTACTTTTCCCATGTTTGTATCCCTGGTGGGATTCTCCCCCCTTCCTTTTTTTAAGGGCTTTCTCCTAAGTCTCTCTGTCGCGGAACAGCTGTGCTCTGATATTAGATAGAATGTGTTCTGTGCTCACCACGAGCTTAGGAACAAAAGGGTTTTAAGAACCCTGATAAATGAACAAGGTCTCTGGGAAGATGAAATGTTACCAACATTTCAAACAATCACAATCCTTGTGCATCTCGAAGGCTTTGCCCTTTCACAGCAGTGCCGGGCGGGCACTGATCGTGGAGCCTTGGAGACTGGCATTTTTTTTTCCCGTCTCCCTGTCGACCTCACATGGGAAAGTTGGTCAGAAGATGGCCCTTCGCTGGCATCACACCCCGAGCTCGCTTTCCCACCGGCTCTTTGCGCCGGGGTGAGGCCCCTTGGAGAGCTTCAGGGAGCTCAGTGAGCACAGAGAGGCCAAGGCTGGCTTTCCGGGGTCTCTTACCTTCCAGGTGGTGTGGAGGTTCTCACCTCCTCTGAAAACACTGGGCGCCACCCCTGATTCCGCGCCCCCTGTCTGCAGGTGCTATGCTGAGCGCTGCACGTTATCCTATTCCATTTGCAAAGCAATCCCGTGAAGTCAGTGTTACCGCCTTTAACTTCAAAGGAGGAAACTGAGGCTTTAGGAAGTTAAGCGACTAGCCTAAGGTCGTAGCAAGCAAGAGGTGCAGCCAGTATTTAAATCCAGATTTGGGGGACTCCAAAGCCTCTGCTTTCTTTGGTAAAAATGGCATCCCCGAGTGGCGGGCCATGGATGGCCAGCCAGGGGTTCCTTGGCTGTTCTGCCCTCTTCCTTCCATGGAGGACCTCCTTCTAACCCGGGGGACTCGAGTTTCTTTAAATGGTTCTCCTCACCCCGATTCCCACCTCGCATCCCCACCCCTGAAGTGTGCACTGTCGTCCGTAGTTCCCCATTTTAATGTCCTCCAGACCTTAGGCTACCTACTTTGGTTTACTCGCAGCCCAGTCCACACAACCCAGCCCAACAATCGCTCTGCAGCCCAAGTTTCCTCGTGGTCCTGCCTTACATGGGAACAGAAAGGTCAAGGCTTGAAGTAAAATGACAGATGGAAAGAAAAGCCTCTTGCAGCCTGTGGAGCTCCGTGAAATCCTTCCTTATGGGATTTCCCTTGTCAGGGCTGCGAGAAGAAGCCTAAAGGCTCACGGCGAAAATCTATAACACACAAAGGCACTGTACGCAGGGGCACGCACCACAGGGGAACATCTGACTAGCAGTCCCGGGGGGTATTGGGGGGGGGACACTAGGGTGATGGGGAAGGAGGGGGGAGGAGAGGGGAGGAAAGAAAAGAGGGAAATGACCAGCATCATGATTTCGTTTCCTGCCTGTTGGCACCATGCCTGCTCTCCTCCACAGAGATCTGGAGAAGAGGTCTTTTTAAAATGCAGCAAGAAAGACTGAGGCTAGACCCAAGGAAGAACAGCAAAACCACCTGAGCCTGGAGACCCAGGAAGTGATCGTCGAGGCCTCTCCTTCTCTGGCAGCCTCTAGGACTAGGATTCAAAGTCGTCATGAGGGGAGCTCAGGGGTGGCCTGGCACCGAGGTGGAAGCAGGAACTCAAGGATTTTGGCCCTGTGGATTCAGGAAGGAGTCGTCATGGGTTGCCTTAAGTGGCATTCCTTTCCCAAGCCAGAGTGGGGTCGAGTCAGTAAGTCCACATAAGAAACTGCCAAGATGTGGGCGCATGTGGAGCAAAGTCAGAATCTCCGTCTCCAGCCACACACGTGTCGCACACCTTTTCCTCTTCTGTCCTGAGTTTGCAATCTTTTCTAATTTCCTTCACCCTTTGAAGCCTCCCTTTACCCTTATGGAAAACACAGACGGAGCATCTTTCTTTCTGGGCTTTTCATGTTGATAAAGAAAAAGACTTGCCTGGGCCACAGAGGTGATCACAAAGCGCATGTTTCCAGCAAGTCTGGGGAAGAGGAAGAGGCAGCTTCTGGTGGCCAGGCATGGCAAGGCTGCACGGGAGTGAACTACTGTCCCTCCATTGCCCCTGTGCTCCCTAACCGGGCGCCTCCGGGTTCCTTCCTGCAAGGGCAGGCTATAAAATGTGCTAAGAGACCTCCTTGGAGAGGGTGTGGCGGTGGTGATGAGGCGTGGGGAAGGTTCTGTGGGTTCTGTGCCAGCTAACTGGCCGTGGGACCTTGGGCAAGTCATTTCACTCCCTCTGGTCTCTGTTTCTCCTTTGGCCAAAAGGGGTTAATCTTGATTACCCTGCTTGCCGCATGGGGAAATCATGAGGACCATGTGAAATAAAATTTAGAAAGTTCTTTGAAAGTGACGTTTAAGTGTGATTGTTACTCCGGATTTCAGGGAGTGCAGGAACAGGAGCCAACAGTGGGCTCCCCGGCCCCTCCTGCCAGAAGTTGCCAGGCCTCTATAGCGGCAGTGACCATAACCCGCCAGAAGCCGTGGGAGGAGAGGGGCCCCAGAAGCCAGCAGCAGTTGGAACCGTGGCTGGCCGAAACCCCCAACCTCCCTCCTTGCCTGGCCTGCTCCAAACCCCAGGAAAATCAGAGCTTCTGTGGAAACTTAAGCTGTGCCTGCTGGACCAGACTGGGATGGGGGTGGGAGCTCTACTCTGCCAAATGGTGGGCATGGAGGGCGAGCGACAGCTGGAGGGTAGAGAGCTGGAGGGGGCCAGAGCCCTTCTCCTGCCAGCCTGTGCTAGGCCTGGGGACTGCCGCCTGCACACAGCGTGGCCCAGTGTGGGGACCATGAGTGGGGGCAGGGTGAGTGGGGGAGCCTGTGTGGGATGCTGGAGAGGCCTGGGCCGGCAGGCAGGCGTAAGTTGCACACTGCCCATCGAGGATTCAGGATTGGGTCCAGCCTGGCAGTCCCCTGTTGTCTCTTCCTCCAGTGGAGGAGGCTCCTTGCTTGGCTAGAAGCACA